TTCTTTATTATTAATTTTGTTTACAATTTTCTCTATTAATAATACTGACAATAATTATTTCCTTTTTCTTTATTATTAATTTTGTTTACAATTTTCTCTATTAATAATACTGACAATAATTATTTCCTTTTTCTTTATTATTAATTTTGTTTACAATTTTCTCTATTAATAATACTGACAATAATTATTTCCTTTTTCTTTATTATTAATTTTGTTTACAATTTTCTCTATTAATAATACTGACAATAATTATTTCCTTTTTCTTTATTATTAATTTTGTTTACAATTTTCTCTATTAATAATACTGACAATAATTATTTCCTTTTTCTTTATTATTAATTTTGTTTACAATTTTCTCTATTAATAATACTGACAATAATTATTTCCTTTTTCTTTATTATTAATTTTGTTTACAATTTTCTCTATTAATAATACTGACAATAATTATTTCCTTTTTCTTTATTATTAATTTTGTTTACAATTTTCTCTATTAATAATACTGACAATAATTATTTCCTTTTTCTTTATTATTAATTTTGTTTACAATTTTCTCTATTAATAATACTGACAATAATTATTTCCTTTTTCTTTATTATTAATTTTGTTTACAATTTTCTCTATTAATAATACTGACAATAATTATTTCCTTTTTCTTTATTATTAATTTTGTTTACAATTTTCTCTATTAATAATACTGACAATAATTATTTCCTTTTTCTTTATTATTAATTTTGTTTACAATTTTCTCTATTAATAATACTGACAATAATTATTTCCTTTTTCTTTATTATTAATTTTGTTTACAATTTTCTCTATTAATAATACTGACAATAATTATTTCCTTTTTCTTTATTATTAATTTTGTTTACAATTTTCTCTATTAATAATACTGACAATAATTATTTCCTTTTTCTTTATTATTAATTTTGTTTACAATTTTCTCTATTAATAATACTGACAATAATTATTTCCTTTTTCTTTATTATTAATTTTGTTTACAATTTTCTCTATTAATAATACTGACAATAATTATTTCCTTTTTCTTTATTATTAATTTTGTTTACAATTTTCTCTATTAATAATACTGACAATAATTATTTCCTTTTTCTTTATTATTAATTTTGTTTACAATTTTCTCTATTAATAATACTGACAATAATTATTTCCTTTTTCTTTATTATTAATTTTGTTTACAATTTTCTCTATTAATAATACTGACAATAATTATTTCCTTTTTCTTTATTATTAATTTTGTTTACAATTTTCTCTATTAATAATACTGACAATAATTATTTCCTTTTTCTTTATTATTAATTTTGTTTACAATTTTCTCTATTAATAATACTGACAATAATTATTTCCTTTTTCTTTATTATTAATTTTGTTTACAATTTTCTCTATTAATAATACTGACAATAATTATTTCCTTTTTCTTTATTATTAATTTTGTTTACAATTTTCTCTATTAATAATACTGACAATAATTATTTCCTTTTTCTTTATTATTAATTTTGTTTACAATTTTCTCTATTAATAATACTGACAATAATTATTTCCTTTTTCTTTATTATTAATTTTGTTTACAATTTTCTCTATTAATAATACTGACAATAATTATTTCCTTTTTCTTTATTATTAATTTTGTTTACAATTTTCTCTATTAATAATACTGACAATAATTATTTCCTTTTTCTTTATTATTAATTTTGTTTACAATTTTCTCTATTAATAATACTGACAATAATTATTTCCTTTTTCTTTATTATTAATTTTGTTTACAATTTTCTCTATTAATAATACTGACAATAATTATTTCCTTTTTCTTTATTATTAATTTTGTTTACAATTTTCTCTATTAATAATACTGACAATAATTATTTCCTTTTTCTTTATTATTAATTTTGTTTACAATTTTCTCTATTAATAATACTGACAATAATTATTTCCTTTTTCTTTATTATTAATTTTGTTTACAATTTTCTCTATTAATAATACTGACAATAATTATTTCCTTTTTCTTTATTATTAATTTTGTTTACAATTTTCTCTATTAATAATACTGACAATAATTATTTCCTTTTTCTTTATTATTAATTTTGTTTACAATTTTCTCTATTAATAATACTGACAATAATTATTTCCTTTTTCTTTATTATTAATTTTATTTACAATTTTCTCTAATAATAATACTGATAATAATTATTATAAATAATTAATTAAAATATTAAAATAGGTTGTAGGCTTGCTCAAACGAATACTGAAATTTTGGTCGTCATAATAAACAAAAAGGTGTTCTTATTTTTAATCATGTGTATTTTTTTAATGTGCCATAATTAACGTGAGAGGGCTCTTATCCACTCAGGATTGCTTGGAAAATTAAGAGAGAAAGAGAGTAGGGATGAGTATTATCAAGCTTGGATTGATTTAGAACGAAATCATGATTAATTCATTGTGTTCCATAAAAAAGAAAATTAGAATTAAATTAAATTATTAAAATCATATAATCAATTTGAATTAAACTATTTAAATACGGTTTGATTCGGTTTGGAATCATGATTTCAAATAACTTGTTCATAAGAAATATCATATAATATTTTTAAAAAAATTCAACTTATCATAAATTATAAAGATAATAATAAGCCTATCAAACAAAATAAACATAACATTAAACAAATATTGTTCAACATCAATCTAACATGATTTTTTGAAACATAAATTTTTAAAATATAAACATGCACATTGTTCTACCATTAAATTGAACAAATATATAGTATGTTTGGTTTGACTTTGTAGAGTGATTTTGGAAAGAAATTTCTAAAAAACTTGTTTGTTTTGTAATTTTTCTACAACAATTTTCAAAATCACTTTCTCTCTCTTATACATCAATTAATCACTTTTTTTCTCTTTCCTTTCTCCTTCTCAATCACTTTTTCTCTTACACATATCTAATCAATTATAATAAAATATCAAATCAATCCAAACTTCCAAACTCCAAAACTACTTTCAAAATACACAACTAAATAAATCAAAAAAAATTATAAACTCTCTCCCCAAAATAATTTTTAAAAACTATTTTTTCAAAACCAAACCAAACATACCCTAGCAAATAAACATATAAGTTTAAGTTGTTGGAGAAAAATGGTTGAATAAGAAATTGCCTCATAAATGTGTATATAACTCACACATTTAAGGCTCATCAGTTTTACAAAATTGATTGAGCAGTTTTGCTAGCATTAGTTGCCAGCCTTGATGGCTAGAGGCTTCTCCCCTCTCCCCCCTGGTGTATAAAAGGAGGCCATATTCCTTGAAAAGAGATATAGAATTTTTCCTTGACATCCATACACTGTCAGTCTACTTCTCCTATAATTTTCTTCCTGAGAGAGAGTGCTGCCATTGTCCGTTCGCTAAGCTAATCAGAAAGTGCTTCTATTGTAGCTGGTAAAAACCGCGTATCCTGGGAAGTAGACGCCGGCGTACGTCCAGCACCCAACGGTGAGGCGGCGAATCTATTTTAAGGAGACTGTGGTATCACACAGGTTTCAGTTTGCTTCCTTTAACCATTTTATATTTTATCTGTATTTTATTCAGCATGTTATTTTTCCTGGGATTGAAGGTTTGTTTTGTTCATCTCATAATTTTGCGATATGCAATGTGAAATTATGTAATGTGAGTAGTTTTTCCCAACAAGCTTAAAATAGATTTGACGTTTATCATAGAATTAGATTAATAGATGCATAGGTGTGTGTAATAATTTTGGATGTAATTGGCCCCTGGTAGTACTAGCGAGTTAATTGGTTTATTAGATGTATGTACACAGGGTTAAGCTTTTGATTTTGCCATTTTGTGTATGCTACTGTTTGGTTTTCCCATCGCATGGAATAGGCCACTGTTATGAAGAAGAGTTCCATTGGTGCAACGTTAGTTTACTGTATTTTCTAATTAATTTATTAATTTATGGTATACTGGTTCATGCCTTGTATTTCTAGATTTGCATGGTTCTAGTTCACATGCTTCTAGTTTACAATATAAATTATATGTTCATTCGGGTTTAATTTTTAGTGTAATTTACATTTCTAGCATATTTAGTAGGTAGTAAATTTTCATGTAACTTGTACCTATTAATCTTTAATTTAGGTGTGGAGTTGTAAAGTTTATAACTTGCCTATATTTAAATTCATGTTAATTTCTCTAGAATTATTTGCATGTTAATCATGTCATTTGCAATTCTTGCCTAGTAATGTGATTTAAGTATTTAGGAGTTATAAAATGTTTGTAACTTGCCTCAATTAATTACATGTTTAGTGTACCATAAGTTCATATGTAACCTTTACCAATTTAAAATATGGTTTAATTATATTTAATTTAGGTCTGTAACTTATATAGTTAATTGCATGTTTATTATGTAATTAATTTTTTACAGTTTTTTTTAGTTTAAATTCTAGATGTGTAACTTAAGGGTTGGTTACTTACAGTTCAATCACTACTTTGCAAAAAGCAAAGAAGAGCTGAGGGAGGTTTTGTTGTATTTTGCTGCTAACTCTTTATTGCAGGAATACCTATGAAAATGGGAAAAAATATTAATTTGGACTAAATATTTGAAGCAATTGTTTGCTTGAGTGTTCATTTGTGGTTATTCACCAATATGTAAAGCACGTTTTATTTGCTTGTAATTATTGTAGCAATTTTGTTGTAATTGCTTGTACAGTTTGGAACTTGGTGTGTTTAACCTAGTTCATCCCTTGGAAAATTTAATTCTTAAAGTTGTTTCCCATGGACTAGGAGTCAACATGCTCTTGAAAGTTTTGTCTAAGGTTAACTGGGTTTTAAGTGGGACCGGTGTGACCCCTCCAGTCTTCCTGGAAACTTTCTTGACCATGTTCGATTCTAGGTTGCGTGGTGAGACTAGTTTTGAATTAAATTTCCAATTGTGGGATTTTCTAGTGTTAAGTTTGATTTCTGGAAATATAGAATAGTGAAAATTCTGCTGTAATTTTTCAGAAATGGCAACCATCTCTAATGCTGCTACTGCTGCTGCTAATGTTGGTGGGGATCCGAACCCCGGGGCGACTGGCTTGCCGACCCCTGCTATGACCTCTGTGGTCAATCCTCCTGTTGTTACTCTGGCTATTCTGGGAGGACCGCTCAATCATCACGAGCGCCCGGAGAAGTTCACGGGAGTGAATTTCAAGAGATGGCAACAGAAGATGCTATTTTATTTGACTACTCTAAGCCTTGCGAGGTTTCGAAGTAAAGATGTACCAGCCGTAGAGGAGAATGAGCAAGATAAACAAAAGCTCATGGCTCTGGACGCTTGGAAACAAGCAGACTTCTTATGCCGGAATTACATTGTGAACGACTTGGCGGATCCGCTTTTCAACGTGTTCTATGCCAAGAAATCGGCTAAAGAGTTGTGGGATGCCTTGGACAAAAAGTACAAGACCGAGGATGCTGGGATAAAGAAATTTATCGTTGACCGGTTCCTGGACTTCAAGATGGTGGACTCTAAAACTGTCCTGAGTCAAGTCCAAGAGTTCCAAGTGATTCTGCACGAGATACATGCAGAAGGGATGGTCCTAAGTGAGTCATTCCAGGCAGCTGCTTTGATTGAGAAGCTGCCTAACGGGTGGAAAGACTTCAAGGACTACTTAAAGCACAAACGAAAGGAGATGATAGTTGAAGAGCTCGTTGTCAGGCTTCGGATTGAAGAGAACAACAAGAAGAAAGGAGGGAGTACCTCCACTGTTAAAGCCAACATGGTTGAGCATGGCGAGTCCTCGAGGGCGAGGAAAAAACTACCGACAGGCAAAATCTCAAAGTTGGGGGCTAGAGGAGGAATCTCTAAAAGGCCATCCTACATGCCAAAGGAGCCTACTTTTAGGTTCGATGGCAAATGCTTCAACTGTGGAAGTGACGGGCATTGGGCAGTTGATTGTCTGAAGAAGAAGCCCTACAGGAAAAACTCTCCCCAACACAAAAACTGGCACATATGGCTAAAATGGAGGAATTGTCACACGATGTGGACGACATGCATCTGTTAGCCGTCGTATCAGAAGTGAACATAGTGGGGTCAAACCCGAGGGAGTGGTGGGTGGACACTGGGGCCACTCGCCATATTTGTGCAAAGAAGAGAATGTTCATAACTTTCGAACCGGTTTCAAACGGGGAGAAGTTGTTTATGGGAAACTCTGCAACCTCAACTGTTGAGGGTAAAGGCAAGGTGATCCTGAAGGTGACTTCAGGAAAAGAATTGACTTTGAACGATGTCCTTTTTGTACCGGACATTCGTAAGAACCTTGTCTCGGGGTCTCTCCTAAGCAAGCATGGCTTCCGCATGGTGTTTGAATCAGACAAGGTCTTGTTGACCATGGGCGGGGTCTATGTGGGGAAGGGATATATGTCAGGTGGTATGTTTAAATTGAATGTAATGACACTTATCCCTAAGATTAATGAGAAAGTTTCTTCTTCTGCTTATATGCTTGAGTCCCATAATTTATGGCATGGTAGATTGGGTCATGTAAATTTTGACTCTTTACGTAGATTAATCAAGTTAGATCACATACCATCTTTCAAGATTAATCCACAACACAAGTGTGAAACTTGTGTAAAAACAAAATTGACAAGGTCTTCTTTTCATTCTATTGAAAAAAGTACCCACCCTTTGGGTTTAGTGCATAGTGATGTGTGTGACTTGAAAGTTGTACAATCACGTGGTGACAACAAGTACTTCATCACTTTTGTTGATGATTGTACTAAATATTGTTATGTGTATTTGCATAAAAGCAAAGACGAGGCTATTGATAAATTTATTCTTTTTAAGAATGAAGTTGAGAATCAATTAAGCCGGAAATCAAGGCATTGAGAAGTGATCGTGGTGGTGAGTATGAATCCCTGTTTACCGAGACTTGTGCTCAATTTGGGATTATTCACCAAACCACAGCGCCTTATTCGCCTCAGTCAAATGGTGTTGCTGAGCGGAAGAACAAGACACTGAAAGAGATGATGAATGCAATGTTGATAAGTTCTGGGTTACCACAGAACTTATGGGGAGAAGCAATTCTCTTCGCGAATTATATTCTTAATAGAATACCACGGAAGAAAGTGGACAAAACTCCATATGAGTTATGGAAAGGTCACAAGCCTTCATATAAATACCTACGAATGTAGGGGTGTCTTGCAAAAGTGGCGGTACCTACACCCAAGCGGGTTAGGATAGGTCCGAAAACCGTGGACTGTATTTTCATTGGTTATGCACAAAATAGTAGTGCATATAGATTTCTTGTGCACAAGTCTGATATTTCAGATATACACAAGAATACTATCATGGAATCTAGAAGTGCATCTTTCTTTGAAGATGTATTTCCATGTCGTCTCCAAGACAGGGTTCCGAGTTCCATGAAAGAAATAGATGACCATGAAGACGATCACATAGATGATCACATGGATAATCAAACCGCTGATCAAATAACTGATCAAGTAGATGATCAAGCTGATGAAGTAGATAAGCCAAGAAGGAGTAAAAGGGCTAGAACCACAAAGTCTTTTGGTCCAGACTTCTTGACTTATATGTTAGAGGGAGAACCTCGAACGTTCCATGATGCTATGACTTCACCTGAAAGTTCTTTATGGAAAGAAGCAATTAAGAGTGAGATTGACTCCATCTTACAGAACCATACTTGGGAGTTGGTTGATCTACCCCCAGACAGTAAGGCCTTGGGGAGTAAGTGGATCTTTCGAAGAAAGATGAAAGCGAATGGGTCAATTGACAAATATAAAGCTCGGCTGGTTATCAAAGGATACAGACAGCGAGAAGGCCTGGATTACTTTGATACTTATTCACCTGTGACAAGGATTACATCCATTCGCATGGTGATTGCAATAGCAGCTTTACGTGGTTTAGAAATACATCAAATGGATGTAAAGACAGCTTTTTTAAATGGAGATTTAGATGAAGAAATCTACATGGAGCAACCCGAAGGGTTTTCAGCTCCAGGAAAAAGTAAGAAAGTCTGTAAGCTTGTCAAGTCATTGTATAGTTTGAAGCAAGCTCCCAAACAATGGCATGAGAAGTTTGACAATGCTACGTTGTCAAATGGGTTTCGAATCAATGAGTGTGAAAAGTGCGTATATGTTAAAAACACTGACAAAGGTTATGTCATTTTGTGTCTATACATTGATGACATACTCATTGTTGGTATCAATGATGAAATGATTAAAGCTACCAAAAGATTGTTAAACTCTAAGTTTGACATGAAGGATATGGGCCTTGCAGATGTCATTCTGGGTGTTAAGATCACCAGAACATCTGGTGGTATTGTACTTTCTCAAGCTCATTATGTTAATAAGATACTTGAGAAATTTGGAAAGTCAGATACAAGTATATTTAGGACACCGGTAGCTTACAGTCTATATTTGACCAAGAATAATGGTGAGAGTGTCTCTCAACTAGAATATTCTCGGGTCATTGGGAGTTTGATGTATCTGATGAGTTGTACAAGGTCGGATATCGCCTACGCTGTTAGTAGGCTGAAGTAGATACACGAGTAATCCTAATGCTACTCATTGGAAGGGCAATATGCGGGTGTTGGGGTATATCCGTTACACCCTGGATTATGGGCTGCATTATACCAGATACCCAGCGGTACTAGAAGGGTATAGTGACGCAAATTGGATATCTGATATAAAAGATTCCAAATCCACTAGTGGTTATGTGTTTTACCCTTGGAGGGCAGCCGTGTCTTGGAAATCTGCCAAGCAAATGTGTTATCTCGAGATCAACGATGGAATCTGAGTTTATTGCTTTAGATAAAGTAACTGAAGAAGCTAATGGCTTCGCCAGTTTGTTGAGGATATTCCACTTGGCCGAAACCTGTGCCAGCTATCAGTATTCATTGCATAGCCAATCAACGATTGGTCGTGCACAGAGTAATATGTATAATGGAAAGTCTAGACAATATCCGTCGTAGACATAATTCCATACGACAACTACTCTCAAATGGAGTTGTCTCTCTAGACTATGTCAGTCTAAGGACAACATTAGAATCCCTAACCAAAGGGTTAACTCGAGAGTTAGTAGAAAAGTCGTCAAGAGGAATGGGGTTAAGGCCTTTAGTAAAGGTTACCGGAACGGAAAACCCAACCTAGTTGACTGGAGATCCCAAGATCTAGGTTCAAAGGGACAACCTAACTTCGTGTAACGGGTGAGTCCTGAAGAGGTAAATCCTCTTGCCCATTCCTTTATACAGTGATGTCCTGTGGGGGTGGAAGGTTAAGCTAATGCTTCTAATGACCTTAGTGATGTGGTATAATGAAATACCGTATCTAGGTCACCTATGTGAGTGCGAAGTGGGGCCGCTTCTTTAAGAATTGCCAAGGCGAATTCTTTAAAAACACTCACAGAAACCAGGCTATGGTTCTAGGGCCATACGGACACACAGTGAGAAAAAGAACAATGGTTAGACTAACTCCTATGTGAGGTCTATTGTCTCGTTTACATAAACGACAGAAACAGTTCAAGCATCACGTTCACTGGTCAGCCAGTAAATCCGATAGGCTTTCACTACGAAAGGTTCAAGGCCAACAGCTACCTTTTCTGATGCAGGGTTAGTCTATGTGCTCTCTTTCTTTTCGAGTCTTTGTTGATAAACGTTGAGCGTTTGCTGTATTCGGTCAATTTTTATTCATGTGGGGGATTGTTGGAGAAAAATGGTTGAATAAGAAATTGCCTCATAAATGTGTATATAACTCACACATTTAAGGCTCATTAGTTTTACAAAATTGATTGGGCAGTTTTACTAGCATTAGTTGCCAGCCTTGATGGCTAGAGGCTCCTCCCCTCTCCCCGTGGTGTATAAAAGGAGGCCCTATTCCTTGAAAAGAGATATAGAATTTTTCCTTGACATCCATACACTGTCAGTCTACTTCTCCTATAATTTTCTTCCTAAGAGAGAGTGCTGCCGTTGTCCGTTCGCTAAGCTAATCAGAAGGTGCTTCTGTTGTAGCTGGTAAAAACCGTCGTATTCTGGGAAGTAGACGCCGGTGTACCTCTAGCACCCAACGGTGAGGCGGCGAATCTATTTTAAGGAAACTGTGGTATCACACAGGCTTCGGTTTGCTTCCTTTAACCATTTTATATTTTATCTGTATTTTATTCAGCATGTTATTTTTCCTGGGATTGAAAGTTTGTTTTGTTCATCTCATAATTTTGCGATATGCAATGTGAAATTATGTAATGTGAGTAGTTTTTCCCAACATAAGTTATATGATCCGGTTTGGTTCAAATTTAAAATCGTTGACTTAAATTCGGAACCAATCCATTGAGACAGGTTTTCTAATTTTTCAAACCAGGACCAAACCACGAATTAAAAAATCAAACCAAGTTTACAGGATTGATGTAGACTGATTCGGTTTGTGAATTTTTCAATTTCCTTACATAGTCCTAAAAGAAAGTAAAATAAATGTTAAATAGAAGAAGAAAAAATATATATATATATATATTGTTAACCATTAGGAACGGGTGGGCATGAAAGAGGGAAATACAATTGGGAATTGGGGATTTGGGAAGGGGAATGCGAAATTTGACCCCACCCTACCCCATTGTCATCCCTAATCTCTCATAAACCACTACTACAAATATAGATAAAGATCACACTTTTTTGGTGTGATGTATGTTTTTTAATCACACCTTTTAAGTTTTATTAAAGTGTGGTCTTTAGGAGTGTGATTAAAAATGGTCATCTTTAATCACACTTTTTAAGTGTCATTAAAAAATGCTTTCATCACATCTTTTAAGTGTGATTAATAATATTTAGATCACACATTTTAAGTGTGATTAAAAATATTTGGATCACACCTTGTAAGTGTGGTTAAAAACATTTAGATCACACCTTTTAAGTGTGGTTAAAAACATTTAAATCACACCTTTTAAGTGTGATTAAAAACTTTAGTTCACACCTTTTAAGTGTGATTAAAGACTTTAGATCACACCTTTTAAGTGTGGTTAAAAACATTTAAATCACACCTTTTAAGTGTGATTAAAAATATTTACATCACATCTTTTAAGTGTGATTAATAACATTTAGATCACATCTTTTAAGTGTGATTAATAACTAATAAAATCTATGATAAAAAAAGGGTGCTACATATTTGAAAAATAATCAATATTATTTTTGTATGCACATTTGAATATTGTAATACACACATACTATATTTTGAATCATAACCACATATTGAATAGAATAACGTCCTATATTTCATAAATAGAAATTAAATATTCAAAACTATATACAAAGGAATTAAATAAAAAAAATTATCTGTGCTTACATATATTAAAAAATGAAAAAACTTAAAAAACTAAGTTCTTTAATTCTTGGACCATATTTTGCATCTCTCCAAAAAATTTCTGACCTGAAAAATGAAAACACAAATTAATTCAGAAACCGCTGATGCATATAAATAAACTAAAAAGTTAATTCAGCAACCAAAATAAGAACATTAATCATTTCTGCTTGATCTTAATCATTTTGGAAGTAACTTCCCTGTTAACAATTAGATGCCATAAGAGCTCAGTGTTAATGACATTGTAATTAGGAGGTCAAAAATGAGCACAGTATTTAAAAATGATAAATCTCAATACAGCTTGTGTACGATCTTTTTGTGAATGTATATTATTATTACTGTTGAACCATAATTCTAGGTACCCATAAATAAATAAATAAAAACTCAAGAATTTACTCCTTTTTTTTTTTTTTGGTTGGGGGGTGCAATTACTATCACCAGCAGCTGCAGGTTTTGGCCAAAACCCAGTGTTTAAGCAACCATTTGAGGAATGCGTGACTTTGGAGCAGCACTGCCATTCTGCATACAAGGGAAAATTTGGATGGCTTGATGATCAATATGAATAATGAAAACAGGTTAAAAAAATATAAAATTAAAAATCCAAAATTGCATGATGCAACTTGTAGTCATAAAAACAACGAGAATTAAAGTATATATATATCAGCTTGGTAAATAATGCATTAATTGGTACTTGCAGTGGCTACAAATAACTTAGTTTTGTACTGTTCATACAATAACTTAGTACATTTATCACTGAGAATTTAAAAAAAACAAACAAACAATTCAACTACTTACACTTCCCACATAACACAAATAAACTAAAAATAAATCAAAACTCACAAACAAAAGCCAAAATATCCCCAACATTTATCACTTTGATAAATTTCTTGATATCACTACCAGTACCAAATGATCATTCCACTAACACAAATCACATCAAAAAAGTCTTCAAAATTTCTCATTATCAAAATGATTGACAAATACCTATCTACTACCATTTCACATGGTATTATATGATCTACTTAAACAACTGTTTTACTCCTGATGCAAATATATCAATTACCTAAGGTTTTACCATTGCATTTGAAGTTGCACTTGTTCTTCTTTAACCTGTCATACATGCATACCAACAACAACAACAAAAAAAAAAAAGGAAGAAAAAAAGAAAAAGAAAAAGAAAAATCGTACAAGCATTGCCTAGAAAAAAAACAATGATAAAAAAGTAGGGCTGTTCATCTAACCTGGAGACCCGGCAAACCGTCCAATCCGAACCCACCCGACGAGCTACGGACAGTTTTGCATGTGCTATGGTTCGGTTGTGGGTGTAAATCTATTGTAAATCTATTGTTTTAACAAGTTCACGGTCGGTCATGGGTAGGAAGCTTGAACCAAAAACCATTTTAAAATACCTTCAACTTTTCAGACTTGGAAACCCAAAAGACAGCCTGGGAAACTCTCTCTCTCTCTCTCTCTCTCTCTGCGTAGCAGAGTTCTCAAACTAACCAACCCCTATATTGCAACATCAAAGATGGTGAAAGTAGCTCTCCCTACAAGCTCACCTCCTCTGAGCTCGTAACGACGATGCGTGTGACGGTAGCGTACTCGTAGTTGCGGCGGTGGACTTGCAATGGCGATGGTGGCAGTGAGTTCCTTTATTCACTCTACTAACTCTCCACGCTTTCAGATCTCTCTCTACAGGTCTGGATGTGACTTTCTTAGATCTGATGATTGATAGCTAAATCTTGTATTCTTTCTGTGAAACCGGCAAAGCCGACTGACAAAACCAAACGAAAGTGCGGTCGAGTTCGAGGAAAACGGCGGTCAACAAAGGTTGATATTAGTGCCAAAACCGAAGGGGTCGGTTCGAGTGCTGGTTAAGACTGCAAACCTGAGCCAACTGACCCGTGAACACCCTAATAAAAGGAAAGGGAGAAAAGAAACCATCCAGCCCTAAGTTGCAAGTGCAGTTACATAACACAAATATGCTGATGTGACCTGGCTCTCATGAGACTTTCTTCAGTAGTGGCCAATAATGGCATGATGAGATAGAGTGCACATCAGATCTTCCAAGCCATTCAGAAGAGAAGAAGAGATATTAACGAAGAGAGAAGAGAAGAGGGACAATTTATCAAATAAATAAATAAATAAAGAGAAGAGAAGAGAAGAGAAGAGGGACAGTGAGAAGATACAAATAAGAGATGAGGGAGGAAGAGAAGATAAAAATATGAGAAGAAAGAGAGTAAAGAGATTTAATTTAACATAGAAGAAAAAAAGCCAAGAAGCAGAGAGAAGAAGAGCGCATCTCTTCCAAATATTTCAATTTTAATTCCTTTTCAAAGGCATCATCTCATTTTCTCGTAAGAGGCCCTAATAATACGTAGTTACCATATGAAACTACCCTAGCCCATATAGTAAAAACTTCAGCCCAAGAGTTTATCCCTAAAATTCTATATATAAAAAAAAAAATTTAAAATAGAAAACAGCAATACATACAACTAAAGCAATCACAAGTCCTAACAGAATTCTAATGATTGAAATACATCAATTGACAATCATCTTCTCAGTTCTCATAGTCTTAGACCAACTTGGGTGCATTATGTCAGTAAAATCATATTATTACAAATACACAGTGATTATAATAATCATTATTGTTGATTTTAAGTCTTATGCTTTACTAATTTCTAAACAAAGGAAAAAGCTACCAAAGAGGATTGTCCTTGTTACTCCCATATTTAATGATATGTTGAGCACATTGAGACACAAATGAGCTTATCATGAACTAATTGTGCAGCCTGATTCTCTTGAAAACTGAACAATAATTATATTACTTCTTCCTTCTGTAAACAAAGTAGAGGCACATTGAAAGGAGTTACAATTTTTTAAAATCACTTTGAAATTGGAAGGACCAATGAAAACATTTCAATTCACATCATATTTCAATGAACTAAAGAAACTGATCGTCAAAACAGGCACTACTACAAATACAGATAAAGATCACACTTTTTTTGTGTGATGTATGCTTTTTAATTACACCTTTTAAGTTTTATTAAAGTGTGGTCTTTGGAAGTGTGATTAAAAGGGGTCATTTTTAATCACACTTTTTAAGTGTCATTAAAAAATGCTTTCATCACATCTTTAAAGTGTGATTAAAAACATTTAGATCACATCTTTTAAGTGTGATTAATAACATTTAGATCACATCTTTTAAGTGTGATTAATAACTAATAAAACCTATAATAAAAAAAATCGACATATTTGAAGAATAATCAATATTATTTTTATACGCGTATTTCAAGAATGTAATACACACTATATACTATACTTTGAATCACAACCACATATTGAATAGAATAATGTCATATATTTCATAAATGAAAATTAAATATGTTCAAAAGTATATACAAAGGAATTAAATAAAAAGTTTTAAATCATGTTTACATATATTAAAAAATGAAAAAACTTAAAAAACTAAGTTCTTGAAATCTTTGACCATATTTTGCATCTCTCCAAGAATTTCTAACCTGAAAAATGAAAACAAAAATTAATTCAGAAACCGCTAGAAGTATATGAATAAACTAACTATTTGTAAAGATTGTTCTAGTTTTACAAAAGATAAAGTCCTACCGATCACACCCTTTCAAATGTCTTAAGACTTGGACAACAAGTATCATTTCTTATATCGCTGAAGGGAGGCAAAGATGAATTGAATGATGGAAAGTGGCCAACAATCAATGAAGACAAGGTTTCCCTAGTCCTCCACAGGCAGCAATTTGCTGACAGCGCACAGGGTTGTCATTTGTTAAGTTCATCAGAACCTGCCACAAGGAGCATAGTATAAGTGTTGACAATCATCACATGAATCACAACCACGTCAAACAGATTCTCAATAAAACACATTTTTAGCCACTCCATTGCAGATGCTCTCATCTTTTCTCCAACTTCTATATTTCAATATTCTATTTGACATAAGTAAAACCAATAATATAAAAAATATTTGGAACTGATGGGCAACTTATTAATGTTGTAATTTATTAGAGATATTTTGTTACAGGAAGGATCATGCTCTCTTATTCATTTTCTATTTTTCTTCCTTGAATAAACAACACACAATCAAATCCTAAAATCAATCAAGTTTCAGAGCAAAGCACACACCCTTGGGAATCAATTCAGAACAAAGTGGCTTAATGACAGTTGTTAATGTCACCAACTACATGTAAAACGATAAAATTTGTATGCTATGTTGCTTGTTGTCTTTGTGTTGAAGTTCACACCAGCCACTGTTTGTTTATCTATTGTTCTGAATCCTTTCTTTTGCATATGAAGTTTATGCTATTAGTGGTGGTGGTGGTGGTGGTTAAGTTTCTATTTTCCTATATACTTGTGTTACTCATTTTACTGTTGTTACTTATCAAAGAAAAAATTACTATAATAATTTTTTGCAATAATTAGGCACCTTGGTATTAACAGGCCTTATTAACTCAAATTACTGAATACACTTTATGGGTAAATATCTAATTACACATGTTAGACAAATACAGATTTGAGACAAATGATGAGTCATAAATACATTTTTATGAAAATTTTTGGTATTCATAAAACAACTGAATAACATTAAATTAGGCATGATTAAGTTTGAAGACATTAGGTTATGGTGTGCCAATATCAAAAAGGTATAAAGCCTTCCATCCCAAAGGACATTTCATCCTCCTATCACTAATTTCAATAAGAATAATGATACATAAACATAGTTTTTATATATGATTCTCATAAATTCAAAAGTATCATTCATTTTCAAATAATTTTCCTTTCACTAATAGTACTTAAACAAGCAGTAAGTAATAAAATAATAAAATGATTATTAGGAAAATTTGAGAAAGAGCTAACCTTTGGCTAAAGGCTTTGAGACCAAAGGTGGGAAAGTTACTAAATCCACAGCCATCAGTAGCAGCAAAGCACCATTGAAAAAGTGCATTAGTAAAGCTACCACAGAAGGAATAGAATAGCGTCATTACTTGTTTCACGCATCCAAATTAATTAACTCATTAGCTCCCAAAAAAATTTTAAAAAATAAATAAACAAGATGCTAATTCTAATAATTTTCCCTCACCAGCCCTCACAACTTAAAATTTTAAAAAAAGATAAAAGTAAAAGGAAAAATTGTAGACCAAGAATATGAATAAACCTAAATGTTAGAAGTCAATTGTTTTTGTTAGAAAAAGTGTGGTATAAATATTTCTTCTCTTTTTTCCTGCATTATCCATAGAGGGGGCAAAGTATTCATTGGGTGTACTCGACTAATCTCAAGACTCACACAAAGCATTTCCTTCCATGCGAGTCCGATAAATCTTCGACTATGCTCATAGGCATAGTCCCTGAGCAATTGATAGCACTCAATGGGAGGAGAAGTTATGTGGTGATCTTGGGGCATGGCTAGGTAGTGTCCAGGAATATTGTGATTGGCAGAATGAGTGGAGCCTATAATTTGGTGTTTGGTAATAGGAGAACAACGAGGGATATGACATTTGATAATTGGTAGGAGTATTACCATGTGATGCTACAAGACAATCTAATAATTTTTTCAATGGGAGTTGAATCTCAAACTTAATGCTTCATCAAGCACTAAGGGCCAAGTGGTAAGTAATATCAGTTTTAGTTCTAAATAGTTACATTGTGTGGTAAATAATATCAATTTTAGTTTTAAATAGATACATTAAATAAGATTAGGGTAAGAGATAGTATTAATTACTTGGCTAGTTTGGCTCCTTTAGGAGTGTAAAAGCTGTTGATGAGGTAGGCAGTTGCAGTTCCACTAGGGTATGTTAACTTGTACTTGAGTATCATCATCTGAGGAGGAGAGGAAAAACAATTCAAAAAAAATTACAAATTAAAAAGCTTATCAATAAAATATATTATTGAAATTAAAATTGGTTTGTTGTAATAATCTATTATTATTATACCTTTCTAAGGGGGACAATTGAAAAGAGACCAACAAAGCTGACAAGAAAGAGAAAACCAATCATCCAACCCAAAGATAGATTCTTCACATTGATTGGGTTGCTTGCTTCATTTGCTTGAGCTGCAATACGTCCACTCATTCCTAGTAGATAACTTGCAGTCCCACCTGATATATATCCCAAAATTATTAGCAAAAACAAAAACAAAAACAAAACAATGTTTTGTAGCAAATGTGGGTGAAGTAAAACAAACCATTTAAAGATTATTAGGCCTACTGTCAAGGACATATGTGGGCCAATGAGTGTAGTAGCATAGAAATCAAATATAGAATCAGGCATAGAAAATATACGGACGAGCAAGATATTACAAGATTGATTGGTGAAATC